GACCCGAGCGCCTTCTGGCTCTTGGGTGTGTGTTTTCCATTTTCACGAATGGATTTAACCTAGTTTTAAATATACGTATTGCCAGGTTGCGTAATGTGTGTGGACAACATTTCGAGAAGCTCTTTAACCTGTATCGTTTCAATACTGTCTCTGTCATCGAAGAGCAGCGCCCACCGTGAGCTCAAGGAATGCTTGTGATTGTGCTGCTGCTTTTTCATTCCATAATCGGTGATCCCTGCAGGTTATGAAAAATATAACACTATCCGAGCAGACCCGGCGCTGTGCTTCCTGGAGAGAGTGGGCAAGCCGGACGAGAAGGCAGTGGCGGCGGAGCAGAGGGCCAATGACTACATGGACGGGTGCGTGACCTCAGGCCCCTTCGCTGCCTGCTTGCCGCCAGCCTCAGCGTGTTGGCCTGGGAGGTTCTTAGCTGTAAACACGGAGCAGGAGGCGCCCGGGGCGCTGGGCCGGAGGCGTCAGTGACAGCACCGTGTAGTGAGTCGGTCAGCGCTTAGTGAGCAGCGTGTGCAGGGAAGGACTGGGGCCTGTCCCACCCGTTCTTTTGGTGAGCACTTCCTCTCCCCGCTCCTCACGGTCCTGAACTTTCCAGCCATAAGCTCCTGGGGCCGAAAGAGGGAAAAGCAAGCTAAGCCCATTGCAGTTAAGAGAAATAACATTATTTGTTCTACGGGTCCTAAAGCCCTTATTGTCTTTATTTTCTGGGGGAAAAAGACAAAGTTAAAAGCCAGTAGGGCTTAGTGACCCCCCCACTTACAAGTCGCCGTGGGCTAAGAGTCCGTTCGAGCCAGCTTGCTCCCGACTTGCCTTCATGCCATGACTTCGACTTTTCGGACGAGGGAACAGATTTAAAACACACTAAAAAGTTCTTCCAGCAAGCTTCTGTTTGTTTCTATGGCCCAGAGAAATTTCTGCGTCTGGTCATTAATTGCAGCATTTTTTGATAATTTAACAGGGATGTGGAAGATCCAGAATACAAACCTGCCCCAGCTATCTTTAAGGATGACATTGAGGTATGCGTTGGATCACATTTTAAAGTCCACAACTCTCATCTTTCCTTAGCTGCTTGTGCTCGCCTTTTCGCTTATGTTTTTTCCTTTGTGTCTTTTCCTTATACGTTGTTCGCCTGTTCCCAAGAAGGTTATCTCAGTTAGTGATCAACTGGGGTGGCAAAGCATCGCTGATCATCTTTGGGAACTGGCCTCACCTCCCTTTCTCCATGTGCTAGTAGAGGCTGGCCTGGACATGGGGGTGAATGGGGAGCTTACCCGCACACTGGCCTGCCGGGGACCGAGAGACACAGTGCCCAGGGCAGGACCCCAAAGGAGGGTGAGGACTAGTGTCTTAAGGCCCACAGCAACAGATAGAAACTGTTGCTACACAAAGAGGTTTGAAGCAGAGCACGGAGCCTAGAGGAATCGCGAGGAGCTGAAGCATCGCTCCAAGTGCCCGATTTGTAAACAGTCACAAGGAGCCAGAGTTGGGTAGAAATACACACTCCGGTGCGTGGGGGTAGGGGGAGGTGCTGTTAAAGGATGTGAGGGGGTCTTGTATTTTTGACCACAAGTCGGTGAGGCCTTGGGCTCATGGGACTGGATGAGACGCCTGAGTGAGGAAAAGAGACGAGCTGAGCGCCCGGTGGGGAGACCTGAACTCCGACTAAAGGCGGAGCCTTCGGGCTTTCTGACAGAACGGAAACAAGGAAATGTTCTCAGCAGAGGTTATGGGTGAGGGAAGACCGTCTCCCCTGAAAATTCATGCTCTGGATCTGCCTTCGTTTGCTTTTATGGGTTGATTGTTCTACCTTATCTGGATGCTCCAGAAACACACAAGCTAAAAGTGTTATATAAAAAGCAACTCCAGGCAGGCTTCCCCATGTGGTGCCTGGTTCAAAGACTAAAACCAAAAACGCAGAAGAAATAAACTTCAGTCCAGCCTATACTTCAGTCCTGGTGAATAAATATATGAGGAACAATTCCATGGGTGAACGTTGGCAAAAATTAAAGCCCTACGAGCTTCTCACAACAGATCTATTGAAGTAAGAATTAGTAAATGTTTGATGATCAGTGATTCTAATGGAAGAACTGAAAAAACAGACTAATAATTTTTGGAATAAGGGCACAGCCCCCATGGAGGCACAAGAGTTAAAGTCTCAGCACGTGAGTGCTGGTCCCTCCCCCAGGGCCCAGCAGACCTCTCCAGTCTCCCCGCTGCTCCCCCCCACCCCCCAGTGTGTTTCAGTAGACCCGCCATTCTGCTCCCCTGTCTCTGATGAATCCTCTCATCCCCACCTGGCCTCTACCCCAGCTCATGTATGCATAGATCGATAAACATAAATCTTTTGAAAAAAAGGAAAAAGGAGGGACAGATGAAAAGAATTACAAAAAGCGGAAAAATATATTCAGTGACATTTAAAACAACAACTAGGTTATTATTCTGCTGGAGAAGTAAACAGATGAGACATAGCTCATGAACGACAAGGGTACTCTTAATGACGGGTCAACTCGGGCCATCCGGAGAGAAGCCAGATGATAATTTGGCCAGGGGAAATGTACTGCTGCGAATTCCTGACTACAGATAATAGCCTGGCTGAAGTAGCAGACGCTGGCTAGTCAGAAGCGCTCAAGCCGGCACCCAGGGAGCAGCCCCAGCCCGGCAGGACTGAGATCTGACTGCAGGGCCGTGACCACTGTCGTCAGTGGGTGGCTGAACTTGGCTCCACGGCCACACCAGTGCAACTGTGGACACGCACCCTGCAGGCGTGCCAGGGACACTTCCCCGGGAGAAGTGTGCCTTGCCAGCACGCCAGTACAGAGCCACCGGAGGGGGAGGTTGCCGGGGACGCTGGGCGGTGGGTCCTAGGAAGCTGCCCATGCTGTGGGAGGTGGCCCTGGCGGAGCGCCCGAGCCAGGAAGTGAAGCCCCTTCCTCCTGCAGTGTCTCTAGCTGACACCACTGACGGAACTTCAGGTCACCGTGGCTGGTTATGAAAGATACTCAGGCCCAGTCTGTTTCCACAGAGCAGACATAAATATGGGTGCCATGGGCTAGCGTGGCAGCAAGCAGCACAGCGGTCCAGGTGAAGCTGTTTCAGAGACACAGGGTGGCGTGACGGTGCCGCCGCATGCATTCTGGAACACGAGACGCGCGAAGCCCTCTTCACACAGATTGGTTGAAAAGTTTTCATACTTGATGAAAGACATGAGTCTTCAGAGTCAAGAAATAAAATGAATCTTGGTAGAATAAGTAAATCCTCTTCAATACACACGGTGGCAGGCCTCACCGGGGGTACAAGGTGAAGTCGTAGCGCCATGACGCTGTGGGCGGCCTCTGCAGCACAAGTTGGATCCCCACGTGGCATGGCAGGGGATCTCCTGTCTCGCCCTGCTCCCCACTCTGTCTCTGGGGGATCCACTCACCCGAACCCCTGCACCTCTGGCCTGTACCCCAGCTCTTGTGTACATGAATCAGAAAATCTTAAAAATATGTATATAAAACACTCTTGTAAAGAAGGTTGGCTTTTCTTTTTTATCTGTGTCTGATCCAGGTACCCTCCGCTAAGTTTGTTTTCTTTTTAAAGGATGACGTTTCCTCGCCAGGAGATCTTGTCATAGCAGATGGAGGTAAATTGCATTTCTTTCTGTACTTAGCATCACTGTAAATTAATGTTTTCATGCTACTGTGAAATCGGGAAACTCACACTCTTTGTTTCAAATACGCGTGAAATTTTCGTTGAAGACGTTAATTGTTATAGAACGTCGTGTCTTAGAATTTAACAGTCTTTGTAAGCTGTTGCAAATCTTTATGCAGTGCATTGCTGAGGTGTTTTTTTTTTTTAGAACAGGAGCTTTGATTGTTTTATGGTTTATTATTAAACGTCTGCCATTCATTCATTAAAGTATTAATCCAATAATTCAGTCAAATTCTCTTTAGTCTCAGGTGCACATTAGAAGCTGGTCTTTATTACCCACTTTCTGCAGAGCTTTTCTGTGCAATCTTGCCGCTTCTCCGTCATGTTAACATGGACACAGGCTGTCTGCAGAGCACATTCGTTCCCTCCCGGCTGGCACCCACAAGGCCCGGCCGCACCCTCCCTAGCCTGACAGTGAGCAAAGGGTGGTATCTGCTGAGCCCAAGTCCCCGCCAAGTGACTGGGGCAGATGTAACAATAAAGCTGTGTCACAGAAATAGGGTTAGACCCTGGACTTTCTTGGAAAATGTATAGCATTGTCTTACGGAATGTTTTTAAATACATATTCCTCCCAACTGGGTTTTTAAACATTCGAATGGCGTTCAGTTGAAATAAAGTTAATACAGAAGGGTTCGAGTAGAAGTTAGCTGCTCTTGGATTTCAGTTTGACTTGTAACTTATTTAAGGTAAAGCCTTGAGCCAGCAAGTATGATGGGCCTGACCTGGAAATGGAAGGGTTCTATTATCTGTGCAGATGAAGCTCTCTTTAAGTAGAGAACGCTGCGATTCTTCATCACTGTGACCTAGTTACTTTGAGTTGCTCTTAAAATTTGTTGAGTTTTTAGAAGTATAGTTAAAAGAAAATTTTATGATGAAAGGACTTGGGGTTTTTTTTTTGTTTGTTTCCAAACATAATTTGATTGTAAGAAAAAAATTTAAGGTGGGGAATTTTACTGCTTTTGTAAACTTCAGGCCAATATCAGTTTAGATTTTTCCTTTAATTTTTTAGTTTTTTTTTAATTAACGTAATTTTCTTTAAATATAGATGGTCAACTGATGGAGGGTGATAAAGTCTATTGGCCTACTCAGTCAGCTTTAACCACACGTCTGAGGCGTCTCATCACTGCATATCAGCGCACGAATAAAAACAGACAAATCCAGCAGCCCCAGCCTGCGTTCCCAGTGCCTGCCAGCACGATGCAGCCTCTTTATGAAGAAGCCACGCTCAATCCTAAAGTGGCAGCTAAGATCGAAAGACAGCAAAGGTAAGACAGCATCTCGAGATTTCTGACATACTATCCAGGTATAGTCATTCATTCTGACGGTGTGATTATCTTACTTGGTGAAAAACGTAAGTGACAGAAGTCCGTCGAGCAAAATGCCTAATGCAAATGCACAAAGGCATCAGGTCATAGTCTCACACACGCGCGCGCACACAACCAAATACAGCTGCGCTGATAACGGTGACTGCGTTGCACACTTACTATCCATACGTTGTATCTAATCATTCATTTGTCATGTTTATGAACAAGAAGATGAGTGTGTGTGTGTGTGTGTGTGCGTGCGTGTGTGGAGGGGGAAGGTGGCAAGTAAACTCAAGAATTAAACTATCAGTGAATCTTGCATTTAAATTACATAAAATACATTCTATCTGAAATACAAGAAATATATCCATTGTGCTTTGCACAGAGGATGAACCATTGATACTTCTTGATGTCCAGGAGAAACAAATAGTAGAAACTTCTTGCAAGAGGCCATGGTAAGAAGACATTCAAGGGGACTCCCTGGTGGCCTTAGGGGTTACATTTCTGTGTTATCACCACTGTGGCCTGAGTTTGATCCCTGGCCGGGAAGTGACCCACAGGGCGCAGCAGACCTCTCCTGTCTCCCTGCTGCTCCCCTTAGCAGTGTGTTTCATCCATCTGCCTGTTCTGCTCCTTACTCTGTCTCTGGTGAATCCTCTCACCAAAGCACCTCTAGTCTACATCCCAGTTCTTCTGCACACACGCTAAAAAGAAAACACCCAAGCTTCTCTCATCCCAATACTTCTTATAGAAGACAGAGTGTTGGCGGTGGGGGGAGAAAAATAGGACTAGTTAGACTATTTAACAATAACCTGGCCTGCTCATGAGGCCTGGGTCCTTGGATGTTCTCAGAAGATAAATCATTATTTTCTTGTTGTATTTGAAGCACATTTATTGTAATTAGGATTTTTTTCCCGAAAACTAAGATTTTAGCTATCTCTGATAAAATCTTCAAATAACACTGCTTATGTAAATACTGTTTCAGTTACCTATAAGTGCATAACAACCCACCCAAAAACACAGTGACTTTAAACAGTGTCCATTGTTTTATTTTTCATGATTCGTGGTTTGACCATGGCTGTGTGTCACACGGTGCCGGCTGGGGGTCCCTCACCCAGCTGACAGCCATTGCCAGGGACTAGCCTGTCACTCATACTAGGGGGAGCACTGCCTGAGGCGGAGCTGCGGGTTTCTTGAGGTCTAGCCTCAGCATTGCAGGTGTCCCTTCTGCCACCTATGGCTGGCAGAAAGGAAAGTGGCAGGACCACCCGAATGTAAGTAAACTCCCGCTCTGGTGGAAAGAGTGGCTGTGCTCGCGTATTCAGACGACACGTGCAGGATTGGTGTGAAACCTCAGCTTCAGCATCTCCTCAATTGAGGCTTCAGAATGCTTTTCTGGTTGTATTCACTATTATTGGCATACCCAGAATGCCCTGCTGACTCTTGACGCAATATTCTGGCTCCATTGTTCTATCACCAGGGATATCCCTCCTACTCCGTAGTCCATACCAGCCGCTTTCAGTGCTCATGTCCTCTTGTGTCTCCTCGATTGATTTATTTTTAACACATCTCACTCATAACATTCTGTCTCCTACACTCATAACATGTACCTAAGTAAACTACTCATCTGTCACAAAATTTACAAGATACTCTAAGGGCATTTATCTTTTCCTTTCTATGTCTTTTCCTGTGGAGTCTTTCACTTCATCCTTTCTTCTCCATTTCTGTTTTTAGCACCTTAGTGCAGGGTTCATCTGACTAGATCTATTCTCCACAATGACTGTTTTTAGTATTTAATCACAATGATGAAAATGGCCTGCTAGTGTTTATCAAAGATCTTTCTCAGACGCTTCTCATTTACACGAGAGCCATGTGAGTTCAGCAAAAGAAAGCGTCTACAAATACATTACCTGCTTCGTAATCCGACCCAATTTATGGGTGAATCTAGCATTTTTCAGTGTTTTTCAAGGAGAAATAGCTCTAGATGTACTCCTTCAAAATGTGAAACAGTTGAAATGTTTCGGTTTTTTATTCATTTCCAGATGTATTTAGTCATTACAATTCCTCATGAAGACCTCTTTGTCTCAGTGAGCGAGGTGGCTTTTTTCTTTCATCTGATTCAAAACAGGTGGACAAGAAGAGAAGAAGCTGACTTCTACAGAGTTGTGTCGACCTTCGGAGTGGTATTCGACCCTGACAGAGGCCAGTTTGACTGGACGAAGTTCCGGGCGATGGCTCGGCTGCACAAGAAGACGGACGACAGTCTGGAGAAGTACCTGTGCGCCTTCATGTCCATGTGCCGGCGGGTCTGCCGCCTGCCCGCCAAGGAAGGTGTGTCTCGCGACTCCTCCTCCTTGTCTCATTAGAAAAGCAAAGTCGCTAACATTTAGACTCCCAGCTCTCTAGTGTCAGGCTGTGTGCTTCAGCATGTCGGGGGTTTTTGGAACTGAAACAAACTGTGCTTCAAAGCCCCCCCAGTCCATCACTGCACTGTGAGAAGGAGATGTAGAAAGAATCCATGCTGGGTTTTGAGCAGCCACAGAGCTTTTGTGGAGTATGGATTTACGATAGGGACGAGGTGGGAGAAAAAGGCAGCTTCTGCTAAACACAACTCAGGATATTTTAGTCATGGAGGAACTGTGCTAGCGGGCTGATTTACGTCAGAACTTTGCAAGGAATGAGGCCTCCATTCAAAAGACTTCTAAAGAGTTTTAGTAGAAAAAAAAGTCACCCTGGGTCTTCCAAAGAAAAGACAGTGAATGAGAGGTGCTGACGCTCGGCCAAGGACCTGCGCTGTGGTGAGTGTCAGCTGCCTCGAAAGCCCAGAGCAGTGACTTGCTTTCAGTGTTGTCGGGATCCCACACCAGCAGTTGTGTCATTCTGTTGGGCATGATTTCCGACTGCCAGAGCCTGCACCTGTAACAGTTGATTGAAGGGCCCCGTGACCTGTCAGCTTGTTTGCTGGTTGTAATTGTGTTTGCGAGCAGGTTTGTTGCAGGTCCACTTCACAGAGTAGCTGAGTCATTTGATTACCCAGATACCAGATTATTCGGAGTAGATTTTAGGCCACTTCGGTGTCTGTTGTGAGACCGGAAGTGGGCTAGAAAAGACATTCAAAGCCAAGTATAGTGTTGTCTTTTATGATTATGGTTGCCAAGCAACCCTCGATTTGAATAAATTCATCACTTGATGCTGATCTTTAAAAGAAGAGGCCAACTACTAACTAATGATAGGCGGTGTCTGCTTGCTAAAAATGAGTGAAGTTTTGCTCCGATCGTTTCCCCCAGCCTTCTCAGTTGAATGTTCTTACTGTCTCAGTAATTCTTCCTAGCAGCGAAGGGGAAAAGTTTTATTGACATGCAACTACAGCTTAGTATTTACGTCCTAACAATCTGACAGTTGGAAAACCATAACATAAACTGAACGGGAAAACATTCAACAGTTACGTGTTGTGCAGCTCCTTGGATCTGGAATGGCCTGGGCTTCTCAATTCCTGCCCCACGGTGATATTCCCGTGGTCCTTGCCTTTTTTTTTTTTTTTTAACAACTTTTGAACTACTTTTCTGCTTTCAGAGAAGTTGCAAAAACTACACACAGAGTTTCCATCTGTCCAGTTTCCATCTATCCCTCCTCCTGCTTCCCTTAATGTTAAAATGTTACGTGACTAAATTGTAATGTAATTATCTGAGCACTTGTGCAGTGCTGCTCACTAAACTCCTCACGCGTCAGGACCACACTGCCCTCTGCTGCGGTCAGATGTGTGCCAGGGCCCCACATTGTATTTAGCTGTTGCTCTGTAGCCCCTCCAGCCACTAACAGAGCCTCAGTTTTCTTGTCTTTCATGGCCTTGACCCATTTTAAAAGCAAAATGACCATTTGGGTCATCTTGAATTTGTCTTACAGTTTTCACATGATTGGGTTAAGGTTATGCATTTTAGGCAAAATGCACAAAAATGATTTGTCCTCCTGGAATTCGTAATGCCAGTGTGTCCAGTGACTGATGAAGTTGCCCTTGGTTATTTTTCTAGGGGAAATTCACAGTTATTTCCCCTGTAGCTAACAATATCTTGATTCTTTGAGATCATAGAAATCCCATTTCTCTTCACACTTTCACCTGGAATCCACTTTCACTGGAATTCATAATGTCAGTGTGTCCAGTGACTGATGAAGTTGCCTTTGATTATTTTTCCAGAGGAAATTCACTGTTGTTTCCCCTGTAGGTAACAATATCTAGATTCTTTGAAATCATAGAAATCCCATTTCTCCTCACTTTCACCTGTTGACGTTAATGTCCATCAGTAGATCTTGTCTGGAATAGTTACTGTGGGATTCTACTGTAAAGAAGGACTGTTCCTTCTCTCTCTCATCAATTTAGTCATTTATTCCTGTTGGAATGGACTCATGGATATTAATTTTATTCTGTAGGTTAGAATACAGCGCTATGATTATTTATTTTGATGCTCAAACTGTTCCAGCTCTGACCATTACGAGATCCTTCAGGAACTGCGTAGCTTCAGCAAACAACTGCCAGGGTCTCTGTTCACAAAGACAGGACCTCATCAAAAGGAATATAGGAAAATTTAGTGTTGAAACTAAACCATCTCAGCTGTTTCAGTACAGTGCTTAACAAATGTCTTTTTATTTACCTCAGATTTTAAGAAAGACTTTGGTGCCCCGTGAATTCACTGTGACTCCTTAGTTTCCTGGATGCAGTTGTAGAAAGGTGGAGTTATGTGTATGGGCTATTGTCCACCAGGTTCAGTTTCTATTTATAAGTGAAGTCAAATTAGTGTTTTTCTCTTTCATCTACACATGAATTAGTAGACTCAGGTCGGCCATATGGAATTTTTAAAAAGTAAAATATCTCCAACGTAATCTTTGACTTACTTTCAGAAGATCCAATGTTACATATCGTATGTATGGTTCTTAGTACTGCTTTTTAAAAATGTACATGTATCCTCATTAAAGCTGATTAAAAGTGAAATTCTGGAAGCTAAACAATGATAGTAATTAGAGGTACAGTCTAGAAGTTTCTTTTTTTTTTTTTAATCTGTAGTGAAAAAGTACATGTGAGGTTAATTTTTTTGCTCTTGTTTCAATGTAGAATTAGTGGATCCAAACATTTTTATCCAGCCAATCACGGAGGAACGCGCCTCAAGGACTTTGTATCGCATCGAGCTCCTGAGGAAAGTGCGGGAACAGGCCCTCCGACACCCGCAATTATTCGAACGTTTAAAGCTTTGCCATCCTAATCCAGACCTGCCCGTCTGGTGGGAATGTGGCCCTCACGACAGGGACTTGCTTATTGGAGCTGCTAAACACGGGGTGAGCCGAACAGACTATCACATTCTCCGTGACCCCGAACTCTCATTCATGGTGGCTCAGAGGAGCTACAGCCAAACGAAGCTGGCTCACTCCAGGACTTCCACCCCACTCTTACAGCAATACCAGGTGGCACTCTCTGCCTCTCCTCTTACCTCTCTCCCGAGGCTCCTAGACGCCAAAGGTGTTGCTCTAGAGGATGTGAAAGTGAAAAGTGAAAACCTTAAAGAGGAGCCTCAGTCTTCTGAAGAAGAATCTATGTCTTCTGAGGAAACCAGGACACTAATAAAGTCCGAGCCTGTCAGTCCAAAGAATGGTGTTTTACCGCAGGCTGCCGGCGACCAGAAGTCTGGAGGGAAAGGCGAGGCAGACCGGCGCATGGTTGCAGCCAGAACAGAGCCCCTGACTCCGAACCCAGCGTCGAAGAAGCAGCGAGTCCACAAAAGAGGGTCAGAATCCAGCTCAGACTCTGACTCTGACTCCGAGAGATCGTCCTGTTCTTCCAGGTCATCCTCTTCCTCGTCCTCCTCCTCCTCCTGTTCCCACTCTCGGTCAGGCTCCACGTCGTCGTCGTCCTCCTCTTGTTCCTCAGCATCGTCTTCATCCTCCTCCTCCTCCTCGTCCTCCTCGTCGTCCTCTTCATCCTCGTCAGAAGAAAGCGACAGCGAAGAAGAGGAAGTCCAAAAGCGAGGTAGATGTATAGTATTGTTGCTGTTTTTCAGACATTTGAAGTGAACATGAGCGATTGATTCAGATTACCTCGGCGTGTTTAAAACTGCTGACTTGAATTTTATGTGTGCAGGTTTGACAGAGGCACAGTTGCAAAGGAAGCTAGAATTGCTGGTGCACACAGAGTTCACACAGTATTACTACTCTGTGATTGCCTTACATTTGCGTTAGACTGGCCCCGAAACAGGCAGAGCAATGAACTAATAAAAGATAACATCCCAGGGCTCCCTGGGGGCGCAGGGGTTAACTCTCAGCAAGCACTGTGAAGCTTTGGCCAGCCCCTGTGGCCTGAGTTCGATCCCCGGACAGGGAGCTGACCCACAGGGCGGGGCAGACCTTTCTGTCTCCCCGCCGCTCCCCTCGGCCGTGTACCTCGTCAGTCCACCTGTTCTGCTCCCCACTGTCTCAGGTGAATCCTTTCATCCCCCACGTCTCTGGCCCGCACCCCAGCTCTTGTATTCATAAATAAATAAAAGTAAGTCTGTGGTGGGGGGGAGCGACCCAGATTCTTAGTTTAAGCATTCAGACTTACAAGAGCACCCTGGGCCCTCCCCGACAGGTGCTTTGGCCTCTGGGGTGCGGGAGAGCGCTGCTGGGGGCCAGGCCCCTCTGTCCTTGCAGCAGTTTGCAGAAACCACTGGCTCCCACCCCACAGGAGCCAGGGTGTCTCCTAACAGCTCACAGGCATCATTTTACAGCAGCCCCGAGGGACACACCTTAAAATTAGTCTCCGCGCTCGCCGGTCGCCATCCCCGCAGTGTCACAGGGGCTTCCCGGAGGCCCTGGGACCGGGTTCTCAGAGGCCAGCCATGCCGAAGGGGGCGTTTCATTAACTCTGCCGCAGGCTCTTCAATGCTACGCATTTTGTTTCTTGCCAGTTTCTGAAAGACTGGATATTTTGGTGTATTCCAAGTGAATGGTGCCGCTTTGGCACCATTTTTTAAATATCGTTTTCAGTTTCAAACGTGCCTAAAGAATTATGTAAGATTTGAAAAGTGCGCACGAAGTTGTTTCATGTAGTCTTTCTTAACAGTTAATAATTGTTCTCAGCAGAAGGTACGCCTCTCATGAAGGCCTATGATGAAGAAAGTGTCGCCTCTCTGAGCACTACCCAGGATGAGACCCAAGACAGTTTCCAGATGAACAACGGGACGCCGGAGTCAGCCTACATCTTACAAGGTGGATACATGCTGGCTGCGTCATACTGGCCAAAGGTAAAAGAGCGTGTTCTTGCTGGAATGGGCCACTTATTGAGCTTTTTCTATATTACTGTAAAAATGTGCAGAAAAATAAGTCACTGCGTGAGACGCAGGATGACCGCTTGGTGATACCAGCGGAAGCATCAGCTAGTGCTGTCAAGTACATTAAGTCTACTTTAGTATGTATTTTCTCAACATCATAATGCTTAGGGTAAGTGATAATGAATGCTTATGTTCACATGCCAAGGCTGGGGCCCTCCCTGGTGGCGCAGCGGGTTAAAGCGCAGCACTAAGAATTGAAAGCCGCTTCCGCATGAGTTCGATCCCCGCCTGCCACGCAGGTGACCACATGGCGTGGGAGACCTCTCCTGACCCGCCAGCTGCTCCCCTCAGCAGCGTACTTCATTGATCTGCCTGTTCTGTCCCCCGCTCTGTCTCTGGTGAAGCCTCTCACTGCCCCTGCAACTCTGGCTTGTACCCCAGTTCTGTATGTCTAAATAAATAAATAAATCTTTAAAAAAAAAAAAAAAAGAAAAAAACTCTAAAAAACTTTTTATTGCGGCCCTCCCTGGTGGCGCAGCGAGTGAAAGCGCAGCAGCAGGAAGCTTTCAGTGGCTGCTCTGGCGCCAGTTCCATCCCTGGCCAGGGGGGACCCACGGGCGCAGCAAGCAGGCCTCTCCTGTCTCCCTGCCGCTGCCCCCTGCAGTGGATTTTGGTCGACCTGCCTGTTCCGCTCCCACTGTGTCTCTGGTGAATCCTCTCACCACCGGTAGCCTGTGTCCCAGTTCTGTATGCATAAATAAATAGATCTTTTTAAAAAAACAAAATACAGTCTTTCAGTTGAATCTTGAAGAAATTTACTATAGCCAGTTGAGACCTAGGGGAAGGCAAAGCTTATTGAAGTATATGTGCACTCAGTGGTCGAGTTCTCTGGCCGGATTAACGCGATCATTCCGGTATCTGACTAACTTAGTAGCAGAGTGATCAGCTTTAGGAATGAAGCTATGAAATAGGGTTGTGGAGACTCTCTCCTCATTTATAGACTTCTGAGTATATTGATAATATATGAATTTTTTTTTAAGATTTATTTGTTTATGCATACAGAACTGGGGTACAGGCCAGAGATGCAGAGGGTGAGAGGATTCACCAGAGACAGAGCGGGGAGCAGAACAGGCAGATCGACGACGTACACTGCTGAGGGGAGCAGCGGGCGGGTCAGGAGAGGTCTGCCGCACCATGTGGTCACCTGTGGGGCAGGCGGGGATCGAACTCATGTGGAAGTGGTTTAAGCTTCTTAGTTCTGTGCTTTAACCCACTGCGCCACCAGGCAGGGCCAATATATGAATTTTTTTAAAGATTTGTTTATGCACACCAGAACTGGGGTGCAGGTCAGAGGTACAGGGGGTGAGAGGATTCACCAGAGACAGAGCAGGGAGCAGAACAGGCGGACTGACTAAGTACACTGCTGAGGGGAGCGGCGGGGAGACAGGAGAGGCCTGTGGCACCCTATGGGCCACTCCCTGGCTGGAAATTGAACTCGTGCTACAGGGGCTGCGGGCAGCTTCGGAGTGCTGTGCTCTAACCCACTGCACCACCAGGGAGGGCCCTTCTGTGAATTTTTACAGGGGTCTGTGTTGGCTTTTGTATTTATAAAAACAAAATAGACAAAAACTGCTTTATGATACAATGCTTGTTGACTTGCACGAGGATGTGAGCCCGGAGGACTTCTGCAGACCTGCAGCGTGCTGAGTCTGTCCGCCCGCCGCGTGCCCCGGCGTCAGCTCCGTGCAGCTCCCGGTACCTGATCTCCGAAGATCGGGCTGACCCTTACGTTACACTCTGATGTCCCTGCCTCTCCAGGACCGGGTGATGATCAACCGGCTGGACAGTATTTGTCAGACTGTGCTGAAAGGGAAGTGGCCGTCGGCTAGAAGGAGTTACGACGCCAGCACAGTGGCTTCTTTCTATACCACCAAGCTGCTGGACAGCCCCGGCACCACCCCGGAGCCCAGCGAGCCCAGCACGCCCAGCGTCCCGGGGGCCGGCGTCAAAGAAGAGCACGATCAATCAGCACAGATGTCAAAGGTGAAGAAGCATGTACGAGAAAAGGAGTTTACAGTGAAAATCAAAGACGTATGTTTACTTTTATTGCCCTAGGACCTGGTTGCGAGTGCGGTGTGCGGCATGTTTCCCTGCAAATGGCTGCCTGCCCTTCCTCCTCCTCCCTTCACGTACTTGTTTCCTATGTTTGCGTTGTCTTCTTTTTGATGCCAGGTTATTAAACGTGAGCATTCTCCTAGAGGGATCACCAGTAAATATTTCTCTACCTGTAGTTCTGCTGATCGAGACGCTTTCTTAAACAGTCTGACAATTTCTGATTGTTTCGGTTCTTTTAAATACCGTTGAATGGTACGTCGGGGCACTTTCTGTTTCCAACGTTCAGCATGCCTGTGACCAGTAACGTTTCATCTTTCAGAATGACTTCTGCCGCTAAACTCCTCTTAAGTGTCTACACCGTAGACGTGTCGCAGAAAATGTCACCTGCGTAGAGAACAGAGACGGGTCTAAGCCCAGAAGTGTTAGTGGCTGCTCTCATGAGAGACTGTTCTTCTCAGGAAGTGTTTATGCTACCTTGTTTGTTGTTGTTTTTTTTTTGTGTTTTTTTTTCATTCGAGAGAGAAATTTTAATATTCAATCATAGCAATTAGTGAACGTTTTCTTCACTTGATTTAATGTTTCAGGGTTTGTACTTCGCTCTTCCGAAGTGCAAGCTTTTTCTTCATCACTTATGTCTCAGTAATGGCGTTTGTTTAACAGGAAGGTGGTTTGAAGCTGACGTTTCAGAAGCAAGGGCTTGCTCAGAAGAGGCCACTGGAGAGTGAGGACAGCGCCCTGGGGCAGCAGCAGTATCTGGCGCGGCTCCGGGACCTGCAGAGCGCGTCGGAAGCCAGCCTCGCCACCCTGCCCCCGGCCGTGCCCGCGTCGGGTGAGTCGGTGTGGGGGTACTCCCATTGCCAAGCCCCTGCTGCTGCTTTCTCTTGTGAAAGGTTTATTTATGTGTGCGTAGAAGAGCCGGGGTGTAGGCCAGGGGTGCAGGGGGTGAGAGGCATCACCAGAGGCAGAGCGGGGAGCAGAACAGGCCGACCGACTGAAACCCACTGCTGAGGGGGCAGCGGGGGGTCAGGAGCCATGTGGGTCAGCTCCCCGGCCAGGGATGGCATTGGCGCTGCTCTGGCTACAGACAGCGTCACGGTGCCGAGATGCGACCCCTGGCACCACCAGGGAGGGCCCCCCGTCTGCTGATTCCTCAAATACAAGGTCATTTGTTCTTTAATCCTGGGACTGCACCTAAGTCTGGAAAATAATATAATTATAAACTTGCGTGTTTATTGGAACTTTTAATGTGATGTGTTAAAAGACAGAGGGTAATTTAGGGAACTTGACTATCTGGGGAAATATTGCCAAATAGCTTTAACAAATCAAAGTTCACGCAGCATCTCAATGTAAAGTAAATTAAGAATTTAGTGGTGATTGGTAGAGGATGTTAAACCGAGGCATTTTGGAAAGGATGTAGGTACGGCAGCGTTCGGGCTCCTTCAGGCTGCAGGGATTCCTGTGACCAGCCCTGCCGTACAGCCTTTCCTCCCCGTGAAATACTTGTGGGATTGTGCCTGCCTCCTATGGACCACTTCGTTATGGGGCAGAAGTCTCGCTTCTATTTTACCTGCAGTTGCTTCTTCTCCGGGTGAAGTTCTGCCTTAAGAGGCGTCACAAAACCAACCTGTCTCTGCCAGCCGGGCGCTTTCACCAGCTGAGCCCCGGCGCCGGCTCCACCGATTTCTCTGTCCACGTAATCCTAACGTTTTGAGAGCAGTGATCACATCTTCCCCGGGAGACCAGCGAGCTTCTGTTTACTTCTTGACACGTTGAATCCACATGTACCTCTGAAATAGGGGGTGCGCCATGTGCTGTGTGTCTGCAGGCACGGAGGGGTTCTTACCAGTTTTTGTTCTATCCATCTTGGTCTAGTTGTGCCTTACTTTCTCTGTGTTCCTCCCGAGTGTGGCTTCAGGAATTAAAACTTTACTCAAGTTCAAACGAGTCTCCAGGTCTGCACCCCAACCTGCTAGACTTTAAGAATGCACGTCTGACTTAAAAGTAGATGAAGGCCCTGCATCTCCTTCACCCCCTCCCCCCACGCCTGGCCGAAGGCTCAGTGCTCTGCCTCGCCCGGTCGCCAGCAGGACTCGGAGGCATCACAGCTCTTACTGTGCTCACACGGGGAGGGAGGTCCCCATAGTTTGGGATGGTGATGTTGTCTGGTATTAAGTTGATTGCTGTTTCCATGGCTGCTGTTACCACCTGGTTATTTTAAATTGTAAATTGATTAGTCATCAGCGTTACGTTAGCCTCTAGAACCATTCACGTGACTTCCCGGTTGCTAGACTTTCAGACGTATTCGAACAGCCGTGCCCGTGTGAGTCAACCGCACTTGCATTCTCGAAGTACGGACTCCCTGAGTTCCGCTTTCTAGCAACAGTGCTGGTATTTGGGAGTGACCTTTTTTACTGGGCAGTGAGAACAGATGAACAAGATAACCTGTGGCACTTTTGCCCAGCCTGGATGGGGTTTAATAATAGTCCACTTGCCAGGTACTTGAGCTCTGGAGAGGGACCCATGTTTCTGCCATCTCGTCGTTGTATTGCTGTTGTGGCAGAGAGTGGCACAGGCTTCCCCTGCACGTTGTTCTGTGGTTAATAATGCTCTTCTTAACAGTATCGCTGTGTGCAGCTGTGCAAAATATTGTAAAGTCTCAGAAATGAAAACTAGAGTTATTATCTAAGCATTCTGTTTCGTCCACCCTAATAAGCATAAATCATGTTCAATCTGGATCTGGTTTCTTCCCATGACTTTCAGGAAATCTATTAGTACTTCTGAGCTTTGCTCTATTGTAGAATAGGGAATGGGGAGAGGACAGGGAGGCCGTAACATCACCTAACTAACAAAGGTTGGTAGAACAGCATCCAGAAGCACCAGAAGGCAAAGTGAAGAGCCCAGCTGCACCCGGAGAACGGACACTGTGTGGCGGCCTCACGCGCTCAGCGCTGCACACCTGGACTGGACAGTGTCCGAGTGCGTGTCACCTCAGACAGGGCAGTGCCCGCCTTGTTATCGGTGCTTTGCGCAAACATTTGAGAAGTAACTCGTCAGCGTACGACACAGTGTAGGCGGCAGTAGGAAGGCATGGTCTTTAATGTTGTTGTAATCGGATCTAGGACAAGAAGCACAGGCTTTCTAAAGTAGGTTAAATTTTCTATTTTGCCTTCTAGCGTAAAATAAGTAGCGATGAAGGTAAGGTCATATGTCATTGCCCATGTAAGATATGTTAATAAGTGGCCAAGTAAGGTGCATTTTATACGTTCACTTCGGTGTGGGCATAAATATTTTCTGTGGTTATTTATATGCTTTTTTCTTTAGCACTGGAAGAGCAGAAAAGGAAAAATAATGGAAGTATAAGACACGGTCTCTGTCCACTGCTTGCTTGATAGAGTAGACTTACACATTAGCATATTAAACAATGTATTAAATAACGCTTTGTGTGATTTAATGTTGCTACCCAGATGATGATTAGTAAATGTTGGTGAAAAGGGCAATCAATGCTATCTAGAAGCAGTCAGAGTGCTGTGGAAGAAAAAGTTGAATGGGATTTACAAGAGAAAGCTTGTGAGGCAAAAGTCTTCCCGGGAAACGACAGCGATGGAGCACATGGAGGAGATCTAGGCTTAGCAGGAAGGAGACTCTCAAGGCCAGAAGAGTGGAACCCTTTGGATTATGACTAGCCCAGCCAGTTTATACAGTTTTACTTGAGAAAGTGCATAGGAGCCTACTTAGAAAAACGAGTGTGAATGTGGACGCCATCACAAACGGAGTGGCCTTAGCATTGGTACTTGTGTGACGTCTGCCTTGAGCTGGAGTGGAGGCCGTAGATACAATAGCGCCCTGGGGAGGTTGTATTGTTAGAGCTCAGGGCACCGTCATGCATATATTTTCAAGTCATGCTCACGTTATTCTGTTAATGTGATTCTAATGAAATCCCCTAAGTGGGGCTTTGTTGCTGTGTCATATTCCTATAGTGCTTCACTGTAAGTGATTTTTGATTGTTGTCATTACTTATCCCCTCCCGTGTTAATTAAGTCTCTTTTGGGAACTGAATAGTGAAAAGGGTAAGTGGCTTTGCTCAGATGACCAAGGGCAGTGCCTTCTTGAGGGATACAGATCACTTGTGCAAGGAATTCTCCGCGGATGATGGAGAAGGCCTTCCACACCACGAGCTGTTAGCTCTTTTAAGCAAACATCTCATTCTTAGTGATGTTTTGTTTTCATTGTTTCAGATCATGTAGAGGAAACTGTGTGAACTGTTGGATTCATACCTCTTACAGCCTTGAGCACCTGCTGAAGTGAGGGGCGGGAAGGGTGCTTAATCTGACGAGTGAGAAGCCAGTGGTCTTTAAAGACTGTGCCGTGGGGCAGGGCGGGAGTGGGCTGTGGAGATCAAGCAGCGGTCAGTCTGGGAGAGGAGCTCGGTTGGGACTGTTCTTTTGAAAATCAGAAACATTGAAGGAAGTCTGTGTTTTTGCTTGTTTCAGTTAGGCCATGTTTGAAGTTGAGAAGAATCTCCTGCAGAATCCTGCAGAATTAGATAGTTTGACACACAAAAAAAGCAAAGACAAAAACATACTTTGAGAAGAAGCAGGAGTCAGTGGGTTCAGAGAGGAGGGAAGGTTTGTCACATAGACAGTAAAATCACGTATCTTTCTCCAAAAGGAGGGAAAACCTCGTGAATATCAGGGGGAAAATCTGAGGAGAAAAGTCAGAAGTTCCAAGGGCCAACTCGCAGTTTTCCCAGTGTTTACATGCGAGGGAGCTTTTTTAGCCCAAGAATTGCGTGATTCATTAGAGAATGTGAAATAAGGATGTCCATATATTTATAAGTAATTTCTTTGAATTTAAAGGCTCGATTTTTATCACCATTGTGTGTATTTTTTAACTTGATTAGGTACTTCCATTCAGTCAAACCTTGGTGCCAACGGAGTTATATTAGACAACCAGCCCATCGTCAAGAAAAGGCGGGGAAGAAGGAAGAACGTGGAAGGTGTTGACATCCTCTTTTTTAACAGAAATAAACCACCTAATCATGTAAGTAAAGTGATACTTGAAACTACCAACCCTTCAGTCCAAAATTCAGTCCTAGTAAATGTACACACTGCTGTTTGTGAGTGGCTTTTTGGAGTAATAATCAGGAAATTACTACAAGTGCCTGGCAGAGTTTTAGATCACAGCTCAGAAGACCCCATTGCTGCCCCAATCTCTGAAATCTGAAAGATTGAGCGGAATGTTACACGACTTACATTTTTCTCTCCTCCAAAAGAGTTTCTGCAGTGACCACAGCTGAATGATAGAGCATGGAAATAAAATTTTCATTTGGTGTTTCACTCCAGGTTACTTTAGGTTTAACCTCACAGATTTCTACAGGGATAAATCCAGCACTGTCCTATACTCAACCTCACGGAATTCCTGATACAGAAAGCCCTGTTCCAGTTATTAATCTTAAAGATGGCACAAGACTTGCAGGTGATGATGCCCCCAAAAGAAAGGATTTGGAGAAATGGCTGAAGGAACACCCGGGCTACGTGGAAGATTCAGGAGCTTTTATTCCTGTAAGTGACGACTTAGAAATCTCGGTTTATTTTCTGTGTATGTGTCATCAATCCTGTGAAGCAAAAACTCTCAACGAAATACTTTAAATATGTGCCCTGCCCAGGATTTAGGAAAACTAACAGAAAAGAATAATTACCATCTCTCCTGTTGACTACAACAGTGTCCTTTTGCATTTTTCTACACTGTGGTCAACAAGTATCTGATAAGAAAAATCACCTCCAAGGTACATGGGTACTGTGTTAGACCCAGTGAGGATTGTAAAGATATAAAACTTCCAGTCCTTTCCCAAGAAATGCATAAACTAATAAGAATAACCTTAGTAAGCATTTATTTAGACTTCGTGTGTGCCTGTTACTACCCTCAGCACTAAACATGCATTATCTCACAATACAGTAACTTTATCAAAATGACAGTGTTAGAACTTTATAGGTAGAGAAACTGGAAGATGAAATATGAGATGCTGATATACCAAGTTTTGTGTCAATCTCTCTTGATGTTTATGCACTTTATAAGTAACAGAGTAAAGATTAAGCCTCTCTACAGTGAAGCTGGCAGGCCTGCATTAGCTACCTCTGTTTTGAAGGTTAAATGACTGACCGATGGAGCCATCCACTACCCTATGGTCTCTTAAGGACCATGTCCTGTTCACCTTTGTATCCCCAGAACTAAGCACTCCTGACACACACAGTACTATCTTGCTCTCCGTAAACATTTTTTAATCTATGAAAAAAGTTTTTGAAATCACAAATTGTGACATAAAGGTAAAGTGACTTTTATTTTTTTAACAGGAAAGAGTATATTACCTTGACCTTTTTTTTAATGATTTACTTATTTATGCATATAAGGTGCAGGGGGTGAGAGGGTTCACCACAGACAGAGCGGGGAGCAGAACAAGCAAATTGACCGAAGTCCTCTGCTGAGGGGAGCAGTAGGGAGACAGGAGGGGTCTGCTGTGCCCTGTGGGCTAACTCCCTGGCTAGGGATTGAGCTCATCCTGCAGTGACTGTGGATTGCTTCCTAGTGCTGAGACTGAACCTCTTGCTCCACCAGGGAATCTACAACATTTTTTTTTTAATGTAAAGATAGCACAAAAGCTCCATTCCCTAGAATGAGGTGTCCCTGTAGTGTATATTTTTGATCTGGAGTCTATATTTAGTCTGGCATTTTACATTGCTATTACTGAGCTCCTCCATGACCTCACACAGAGATCCTCAAGCTTGGCGCTGGATGTCTTTCGGGTCCCAGTTTTTCAGAGTACAACACAGGTTCTCAAAAGTAACTTTTATTTAATTCTTGGTTTTTAAAAAGCCAAATAAAGCTCTTGTAATTATGAGGGCTTTTACTAAACAAAATGGACAATCACAAAATAATATTGCAGCTCTAAAAATGAGACCATTAGTTTAACCCTATAAAGACCTTAAGGGAGGAAAATAGCACTCGTTTACTCCACCAGGAACTTTTTATTGAGTAGCTACTGTGTTCGAGCTTTAAGGGGTTGAGGATGAGAGGCCAATACCAGCCTTGCACACTGGTTCCTGAAAGGTTGTCACATCTTTCTCTTCGCTGCACAAGAACTGTGTTAACTTTTTTCAATATTTTCACTACAAGTCTTTTAATGTCTTATGTATTTTTGATTAAGACTTGTTAAAAATTTTATGCAACAACATTTGTTGCAGTACAGAATACAAGATAAAAATAAGTGTAGCGTCCCCAGGATTCTCCAATGATTTCTTGCATCTCACATTCTATGGTGGACTCTTTATGGCTAGATTACTACAACGTGGTGTAGGCACGGTAACGTATGATAAAGGGCCATGGAAACAGATGAAAAATGAGTCTGCCCAGGTCAGAGCACCTCAGAGATGACATTGACTGAACATGGGTTTAAAATATATGTATATCTATATGCATTTGAATAGGTAAACAAGAGGGAGATATTTGGGCTTTATAGAGCAAAATGAAGAGAGTTATGAAGGCAGTGTGGGCTTCCACATGCCATAGCTTGCGGGGGGGTGAGTGGGTAAGCCAGCTCAGGTTGTGATAGGGAAGAGTTTGTCTTCCCTATCCCTATTTGTCCTCTTGGCACATTCTGATTGATTGGAAATGAAACAGAAGCCAAGCCCTTCGTGGTCAACATTTGTAGAGTCAGCAGCACGGATTGGTGGGACTGGCTGCGATGGGTTATCGCTAGGGACTGGCACCCACTAGCTGTGTGACCTTGAGGAAGAGCCTTTCTTAAGCCTTGCTGCCCGCTGTCAGATAATACCTCACAGCTTTGTGCAGACCACGTGAGCTGGGGCAAGAGGATAAGGGAGATGAAGAGACGTGAGAGCAGCTAGCACAGACACCTGCTGCCGCAGGACACAGCACCTGATGCTCCAGGTGAAATGTTTCAGCAGACAGTGAAGAATGTACAACTTAGAGAAAACTGCTCCGGGCTGGAGACTCCTCTAGGCACACAAGTCCTGAACGCCATCACCCTGCACGTTTCAGAAGCCAGTGGAAGGCCTGCTTTCATTCCGATGGTTGTGATCATTCGGATGATGTTGGAAAATTGCTTAAATTTATAACCTGAGGGAAAAGAGTCCTGAATACCTATAATTTTAAACATATTTATATTAGGTTGCAATATTTAAGGTTTCAATATTTTTCAAGTATGACTAGAGGGTAAATGCTCCAACATTAAAGGAATGTTGCGCCTGTGTAAGAGACAAGGTACATGATGTTTGCTGTAACATTTCTTCAGTGTCATAGAGTTGGGAACTTGGATCATTTTGTCTGTACAGCTTGTATGGTAGAGACCTGTCAGATGTTTCTCTGCCTGTATGTTTCAGAGGGTGCAGCTCCATGAGGGGAGACCCAAACAAAAGAGACACCGTTGCAGAAATCCCAATAAACTAGATGTCAATAGTCTCACTGGAGAAGAACGTGTTCAGCTGATTAACAGAAGAAACGCCAGAAAGGTATTGACATATTTGGTGTTAATCTTTTATAGTGATTCAGTGTTTACTTGAGTTTAACCCGCCGATTCTGTAGAATACCGTTTCATTCTGCAATGGAGCAGAGATGGATTAACCCGGCAGCTTTGTGGAGAAAGAGATGGGCCATAATTTTATAGTCTGATTTCAAATTCCACAGCTTTTATTCAGCTGTTGAGTAAGATACACAAGCACTTTCCCAGTGTGCCTGGCAGGGACACTGCTCAGGGGCACAGCAGCTGCACCAAGGCTCTTGAGGGGTGGGGGCGCCCTTGGGGGAACAGGGTGGTGCAGTCTGGGCGCACTCCGAGGCCCCTGCTAGCAAGCTGGGTCTGGGACTTCGTCGGGGGCCAGGGGTGCTGCTGCCATCTAGCGGCGGAGGCAAAGGGCGCGGCCAAGTGTCTGCGCCTGGCACAGCCCCATAGCACGGTACACACAGTCTTCACCCCAAAGGTTGAGATGCCCCACTTAAGGGGACGCCATTCTCATCACAGCCATCATGACTCTGTGTATTCCTGAACGTAATTTTGCATCATCTAGCTGCAGAGTGTCTTGCTCTATCAAAATGAGAAGTTTGTGTAGGTTTCTGATACGAGAAGTTGAAAGTCCTAAACACGACTCCCTTGTATCAGAGGACACCGGTGCTTTTATCTTCTTGCTTTATTGGTTGGTGAATGGAAAGAGTCAGCTTGTTCCAGTCCATTCCTCTATCAAATGAGGCTCAGCTTCTGCTGCCCCAAAGTATTTCCATTTTCTATGCATCAGGGTGTGTCATTCAGTGCACAAAGTATGTCCTGGGCTACTCTGGCACCCTTGGTAAGTTTGTAGATTTGGTAGTTTTATTCTGATGAGCACACAACAAAATAAATCAGGAAAAGTGCCATTAGAGGCAGAACAGCAAATTTCTCTTTGAGTTCCTTCATTCACAAATTAAATGACCTTCTATAGGTCATGTTGATGCTTTAATTCTGTCTTTGTTGCCAGTAAGTTGCCTCACTGCTAGTATAAAATATATAAGAACATTTGACCTTCTCAGAAGAAATGTTGAAAATGGAAGGTAATTATTTTTATAACAATTTTTGAATACTGTCCCTACCAATTTGTGAAAATTAATGCTAACTTTCTCCCAGTTTTGTAGCGATAGTTTAGTCATCTTTTGTTAATACTTCAAAGTAGGGTCATAGATGAACTCACAAAAAGAAACCTAATCTCCTTGCTAAATATCCTGTAGAGAGAATTCAGTTAATAAAGTGAAATAAAAAGAGGAAGTCGGCAAGCTAAGGAAAACCTAAGGGAACACCCGAGACCAGAACACCCACACGTGTCTCTAGACCTGCTCTGTAGCCATCAGGGTCTATTAGATCTTCATTCAAGTATGTATGGAGAAGCAGTCGCTCACAAAAAGGACTTTAAACTCCAAAAGAACATTAAATTGGTGGGTTCTAATTTAAATTTAAATCATTTCTGTTTCAAAATACAATTTTTTATTTTATGCTACTTATATGTAGGAGTTTTCTTTTTCTTTCAAATGTACTCATATTTAGCTGCGCACATCACACTTCATGTGCAGAGGGTATTTATATACTTCTAGGGTATCAAGTGGGTAAGAATATGGATTTCGAAACCTGAGCAACCTGAGCTTAAGGCTGACCCTAACCAACTCGTACTGGTTTGCTTTAGTCAACTCTAACTTCTCTGAGACTTAGCTCCTTCGTCTGAAAAACAGAAATGATACTTTAATCTCAAAAGGATATAGAAAGAGAACTAAAAGAAATTTTATACTTAAAGTCCGTCGCACAGTACTTGGCATAGAATGATGATGACATTAAACTACAGCTGCTTCACGTGCTTGTGTACCAGAGCCCGGGTGAAGGTACTTGAAGTGTCTCCCTGTGTCTCGCCATGTTACTAGGGGAGCAGTGTCCTGTTGCCCACCTATTCGGGTCAGAAGCTGGGCTCACACAGGCTTATTAGCTGGCCCAGGCTCACACAGCGGGAAGCCCGACTCCGGGGCTGTGCTCTGATCTCAGCCCTGTCGCCTCCCAGCGTCGTAGGTGTGCAGTAGAGCTCCCTGTTCTGGTTCTACTAAAACATCTAAATTTGATATTACCACATGTTTATGTAGAAAATTACTAGTCCCGTGATTTGTGGTGGCTCTTTTTAATAAAGATGGTCAACAGTGATTCAAAGAGTACATGTGTTCTAAAAAAATTAATTCCGTACAGTACTTTTCTCAAAGATTTAATTATTTATGCTTATAGAGCTGCGGTACAGGCCAGAGGTGTGGGGGTGAGAGGCTTCCCCAGAGACAGGGGAGCACACTGCTGAGGGGAGCAGTGAGGAGACAGGAGGTGCTCCTAAGATGCCTCGCTGCACCATGTGGGTCACTCCCTGGCCTTGGCGCGAACTCGTGCAGTGGCCTCGCAGAGCTTCGTGCCGCGCTTTAACCCACTGTGCCACCAGGGAGAGCCCTGTGCAGAACATTTTTAAAGCAAGAAATGAACCTGCACGTAGACTGGGGTCTTCTGTGTGTCTAAAGCCTGTTTTTCATTCACAGGTTGGAGGTGCCTTTGCTCCCCCTTTGAAAGATCTATGTAGATTCCTGAAAGAAAATTCAGAATATGGGGTGGCTCCTGAGTGGGGAGATGTTGTTAAGCAATCTGTAAGTACTTCGGACGCCATTTCTAAACCTCCATACTGTTTGACGTGTCTTAAGATTCAATTTCAAATTAAGAATTAGCAAAATGTCCCATGAACATGGACAGTGTGCTTCGGTCCACGAGTTTTACCTGGCAGAGCATGTCACAAGCTTCTCGGCTGCTTGTTGAGCTGGAATGCAGGGTCAGTATATACTGCTGTGTTCTTATTTAACCGAGAAGATACTATTTGATCTGTGCCACAAAGAATCATGAGGGGCTGGACACTACTAGTGATCCAACCATTTGTGTAGAAAAGTATGCAGCTGTTTTAAAAAGAGTTCAGTGAGGCAGTACCTGAGCCCCTGCACGATGCCGAATACGGGACAGCGATTATGTCCACAGGCGTCTGACTGAACAAGGGCAGACTTCAAAGCTGTATTGGGTATGATACTACCTGGCTTTTTTTTTTTTTTTTTTAGATTTATTTACACAAGAAGTGGGGTACAGGCCAGAGGTGGGGCGGGGGGAGAGGAGAGACTCACCAGAGACAGAGTGGGGAGCCGACCAGGCGGATCTACGGAGACACGCCGCTGAGGGGAGCACTGGGAGACAGGAGCCGTCTGCTGCGTCCTGTGGGTCACTCCGTGGCCGGTATCAAACTCGTGCCAGGGCCCTCTACTTGGCCTTTTAGACAGGGGGAGGGAGAATTGTAGGATCTACCTGCTTGCCCAAGGGGAAAACGTCAGAACATGTCCCGAGTATTAGCAGCGGTTATGCCCCAATGTGAGGTTGTGGGTCATTTTCCCCCTTGAATGTCCTCGTCGAATTTTCTACAGGAGATCCTGATGCTTTTATAAAGAGAATAAATTGAATCAAAACAAAATCTAAAACCACCCCAAGCATCCTCTGAACAACCTGCAGTGCTGTGGTGTCAACAGAGCGCGAAGCCTTAAGCGCTTCATAGGCGGCTCATCAGGTTCAGATGTGTTGCAAATGCCAAACACTAGATTTAGACGTGAAGACTTAGTTTAGGGGCAAAAAAAAAAACAAACCATAAAACACCTCCGGATTTATAGGCTGCATATTGGAATGCTGGTGTTTTGATTACATTGTGCCGAGTAGGATGTTTGCACTAATACGTCGCTTAGTTCAATTTTACCTTTTTTAGTGTGACTGCAGTAACAGCTACAGCTCTGGCTTACATTATATTCCTGTCAAACAGTAGTCGCCCCAAAGTCCTAAACTAGTAAAGTTTCCATGAGTTTGAGCCCCGGAAAATCGCAGAACTAGAAGCCGGGAGCACAGCTTGCCCCGGGACCTGGACCTGACGCGTCCCGCCCCAGGACCCGCGCGGCTCTGCGCTTGCTCGCCCTCCCGGGCTGTCTGCTTGTTGCTGTGTTTTGTTTTTTAAGCCTGACCCTTACCTGCCTCATTCCTGAAGTGGTCATCAAAAGGCCTGTAGGAAGCATCTCCTTTTCATCGTCACCTCTCCCTGACGGCTCCACGTCAGGCGGCCACTCGCGTGGTCCCGTGGAGCAGCTGGTGCTGCGTGGCGCTCGCAGGGTGTGGGCGTGAAGCGCCCTCGAAGCTTCCGTCGTGTGGAACCGAGTCAGTTCCATAAACCGCGTCTCAGGACGGGAGGAGGCTGGCGAGGGCCGCGCGGCGGGACTTAGGGAGCCAGGCAGCCTCTTGTCACTGAATAACATGAATAACGGCTTTTCATACAACTGTTCGTAATGAATCTCTCCCCAGGGCTTTCTTCCAGAAAGTATGTATGAACGTATTCTCACGGGCCCCGTGGTGCGCGAGGAGGTGAGCCGGCGAGGGCGGCGGCCCAAAAGCGGGATCGCGAAGGCCACGGCCATGGCCGCGGCCGCGTCCGCCGCCAGCGTGTCGGGCAGCCCTCTGCTCGCCAACGGATTGCTTCCAGGGGTGGACCTCACAGCGCTTCAGGCCTTACAGCAAAACCTGCAAAACCTGCAGTCGCTGCAGGTGACGGCGGGGCTGATGGGAATGCCTGCCGGCCTTTCTTCGGGAGGAGAAGCGAAAAGCGTGGCCGCCATGTTCCCCATGCTGCTGTCCGGGATGGCCGGGCTCCCCAATTTGCTGGGCATGGGCGGACTCCTGACCAAGTCTGCAGAATCTGGAACCGAGGAGAAAAGGGGAAATGACTCTAAGGAGCTCGAGGGGAAGAAAGACAGGACAGAGAGCCAACATTCGGAGAATGGCGGCGACAACTCGGTGCCCGGGTCCCCGTCCACGTCCTCCTCCGCCGCGGTAGCCACAGCCGCGGCGGCCAGCCCGTTGGCGCTGAACCCACTGCTGCTCTCCAACATGCTTTACCCAGGGATGCTTCTCACTCCAGGCCTTAATCTTCATATTCCAGCTTTGCCCCAGTCCAATACTTTTGATGTACAGAAAAACAAAAGCAGTGACTTAGGCGTGTCCGAGGCTGCAGAAGTCAAGGGAAAGGATTCCCGAGGTAGAGGTCAGGAAGGCAAAGGGGCGGCTGAGCCAAGCCCTCTGCGCGAGAACAGCACAGATGAGGGCTCGGAGAAGGCGGACGCCTCTGGGTCCGACAGCACGTCCTCGTCGTCCGAGGACTCGGAGTCTAGTAACGAGGACTGAGTCCAGACTGCACTTAAGGGACGGGCTGATTTTGGATTTTTTTCTTTAATGATTGGTTGTAAATACCCCAGTGTTGAGTGCATCAATAACTTACTGACCGAACATTTCAGTTATTTGTTTAGAAGTGCAAACTGCTTTCAGAGACGTTTTGCATGTACTATTTCTTAAGATTCTTAAGTTTCTGAACTCGAACGTACTATCAAATACATAAAGGTGTAAAATTACAACAAAAGGCATTATAATTTTGTTGGGGGTTAATTTTATGAAAATTATGCTCAATAAGAGTTGTATATTTAATATATTTGCAGTGAACACAGAATACTTTATGCATATTACTGATTTAATTTGAATATAGTTTTACAGCCTCCTTGACACCTATAATTTACAGATCAAAACTCAGCAATAATTTGGGCAGCTAATGAATGTCATGAAAGCTGTAGAATCCACATGGCCATCCATCGCTTTCCTTACATGAAAATGCTCTAGTGTTGTGATGCACTGCTGATGTTTCCAATTCAGGTACAAGTATGTTTTAAAGAAGAAATAAGTTTCCCAATCAGCCAATTTAACTGGCTACCTGTTACCTCAGCTGAGTTAGTTTAGGAAGTTTACATTCGTTTCTAATTCTATACTTGTTTTCAGGGGTTTTTTAAACACATCCTATAGATCATGTTAATCTGGCAAGAAAATGACTTGCTTAATTCTGACATCAGTAAAACCAAGTCATGACAGAATCCTGTGTCATGTCACTTTGGCACCCTCTCCACATTCTGAGTTTTAACTTTCCAAAGTTCGGCCTCCTAGTAGAAATAATCATGTCTCAGATGAGTAATGTCCGTTTCCAGGGTTCAGAAAAGGCAAACTCATGAAATGCCACTGAAAAGAACTTTCAACACAGCATACTTCATGTAAAAGAAATTGTTTGTTTGCTTTATTTGTGTAGACTCCTCTTTGTGTTCTATGTCATGGAAATATTCCAAAACGAACAGGTAATAGTGGTAAAATAATATGCAGATAGTCTAAATTCATTTTGAGTTGCTAGATGTAAACAGACTAAATGTTGCCCAGAATCAGTGTTGGGTATCAGTATACCTGAAATATACTGAGTTGCCCATTTTAAAATGCACTTTGAATAATCTCAAAAAATATATACAAGTTATACCTGTGAACCACAAAAATGAAGCTGCAGGCTTCTCATCAGTTTCTTAGCTCCCTTTACCATGTGAACTTTGTCTGATATTTGGTTTGTGATACAATTCCTCCTGCTAAAGCTGCTATTCTGACAAGGTAGAGAGGCCAGGCTCTTCTTGTTACACATTTAAAACAATTAGAACTGAATTGGACATGGAGTGTCACTTGCTTCCTGAGGAGAGAGAAATGTTAGCATCTTTCTGGTACTGGTTAAGTCAGTGATACATTTGCGAGGGGGTACCGTAAGAGGGAAAGAGTACCCCACTTCTTTCTGTCCCAACGAAAAAATAACTTCCGGTATGATCTGATAGAACTCTGTTACTTTGTCATGAATTAAGCAATGACGTTGGATTTTCCAAGACCTCTCCCAGTAAATTGTTTCTGTATGTAAAATAACTGACCCCTTCTTAGAGAGACAGTGTTATATGTACTTACAAAATTCTATAAGTTCCACTGGGATTGTATTGATTTTTTTGTATTTTCCCAAAGTAGTTCTTTGAATTGATAGTCCTTTATGCAATGTCTTAGCAATAGTCACTATAATGCCCATCCAGGAGAAGTGGGTAGTGATTCTTCATCATGATAATGATCTAGCACATACTAGCATCTTCTCTTTGCAGTATTGCACTTTTGTTTAACTAGACACACCTATGAGATAGCCAAAGTTTTTCAAACGCAGTCAACTTGGTTGCCGGTGGAGTATTCAGCACCGTATATTCATTCCCTCCCTCTGGGTCTACCCACACGATCTTTATTCCTTTCTTTCCCCAATTTAAAAAAAAAAAAAAAAACACAGAAGAAAAGCCCTAGATCTTATCACCAAAATCTAATTTCTATCAAATTTATGAGATGAAATATTTTCCTAATTATGGTCAAATGAATTTGGTTAACATCTTATGATTCTCTTTCTATGTAATAAGGCAATTGCAGTTTTCAAAGCATTAAGGGTAACGTTAACTTTAGACATTCTCTTGGATTTCAAGACACTTCTATTTAGTATCGATTGGGGAAAAGTTGTCCAGCTACAGCTTAAAAAAACAACAAACATGCAAATATGGTTGTGTAAAGTTAAGGGTTATAAGGAAAAAATCAGTAGAATTACATAATACTAAAGATACAGTTGAAAGGATATTCCACGTATGTGTTGTAGTTACTAAAAGAATTATAGCTGTTATTGCCTTGTATTTATAACCCTTGTTGCAGGTTTCATGATTCAAGTCTTAGTCCAATTTTTCTTTTGGACATTTGCAATATTTACCAGTTGTGTTCTGTGTAGTCTGAATTTGCTTTCTGTAGTTGAGCAAACGTCTTAAAAAGTCATTTGTAATTTATTAAATTACTTTCTATGATGTTCTATAGAGCAAATGGAAGTTTAATTATTTTTTATTAAACATATTCTTTGACTACCCATGATGTCAGCCTCTGTACATGATGCTACTTCTTTTTTGATTGAAGTGTGTATATAACTAATCCCAGCTGTGAAAGAAACTGGCATCTTTAAAAGGAAAGAATCCTTTACTAAATCCCCACTCCAAAAAATACTACAAGAAGTCCTTAAACCAAATCCAGCAGAAGAATGAACAAGAACAGTTCAAGAGGAAAGTATACTTTAAAAAGAACTGTTAAAGGCAGAAGTTGGCTGGAGTCACATTAACAATATCAACATTCTCCTAAATTTTCTTGCACTGCACCTTTTAAAAATTCAGGAAGGTTCAAATACACATGATCTCTTACTCTGGAAATCAGCAATTACTTTTTGCCTGGCCCTAGAGAATCTTTCCTAATGTATCATCATAGTTGGTTGTGTTTCTTGTAAAGCTCAAGGAAATTTGGTTTTCCTTTAATTGCAAAGTAGAACTGTGAAAACTTATCATACAGTCATTAAATTGCACATATTCATCTATACTTTCATGCTTAGAAAACTTTTTTTCATTTTTATACAATATAGCATGTCAATATAAGCCGGTTCCTTCATCTGGGGCTCACTCAGAGGAATAATAATTTATTCCAGTGCCGAAGGAAGAATCAACTATGTGGAATGCTTAAAGGTCAGTATTCTGTATTTTGTGAGCTATAGGAGGAAAAAGGATTTATTTTACAAGTAACATTCACCTTACACAGTAAGTTTAGAACTTCTTCATGTAGATGCAGCTATAGTATATAAGCTATTTTTAAATGCAGAAAAAAAGCACAAATAAAAACATTTAATCAAGAAACCCACAATGAGATAATACTGTTGATATAGATAGCTTGTTTTACACGTATATTATATACTTGTAATGGGTTGAATAGTGTCCTATAAAAATTTATGTCAACCCAGCACCTCAGAATATGCTTTTACTACACATAGGTCTTGACAGACCTAACTGAGATATGGCCACTCTAGGTTAGGGTCTGAACTCTGATGGCCAGTCTCCTAAGAAGAGGACAGGCAGTTCAGGAAAGGTCATGGGGCAGAACAGATTGGAGTGATACAGCTGTGCACCAAGGAGCACCAAGGAGAACCCACCGCCAGAGGCTAAGAAATTCTTCAGAGCCACTAGAAGACACCAGTCTTGCTGACACCTTGACTTTGGATTTCCGGCATGAATTGTGGGGGAATAAATGTACTGTTTAAGCCACTCAGCTTGTGGTAATCTGTTATGGTAGCCTTAGGAAACGAATACAATAAATTTCCATATTAAATCAGTATTATGAGGGCCATGATATTTATTATTCTGTCATTATTTCTGACCTGTGGTAATAAATCCTGCAATGGGATTTCTTTATGCGTAGTATTGGCTTAGACAAATGTAATTCCTCTAGCTGTGCACTTAAAAATGGACATTTGGGTTTTTAATGTGTATCTTACATCATTCTTAATGATTCATTTGATCCCTAGAAGTGGAAAGACTTCCTCTGTTTTTAAGGGCTTTGGTTTGTATGAGCACATTCATAATGATGCCATTAGTAGCAATTTATACAACTGTCCGTAGTATAAGCTGTTTAGATGACCATTTAGCCAAAGTCTTTGCCAATACTATAGATTGTCTTGAAATAATCTTTGCCACATGAATAGGCAAAAGCAACATCGTCCATTTTAAATGACTCTTTTCTTAGTAAAAAGTGAGATGTGCGTATTAGACACAATTGGGGGTGGGGAGGGAGAGACACAAAGTTAAAAAAGCCCCGTTAATGCTGCCCTGGGAGATAATTTAACCTGTGGCTCCTGTTCCTTGCATGTTCATATTACAGGTTTTATAAGTGGAGTTATATTGTACATACCATTTTGGAGCCTTTTTTCTTTTATTATATCATGATTATCTTTCCATGTCATTAAAGAATCTTACACAATATGTTTAAGGACGATCTCATTCCTCTACATAGATGCATTGTCATTTACTATCCAGTAGCTGAAATTTTCAGTTTTGAGCATTTAGATTTTTTTTTCAGCTTTGAGGAATTTAAGCAATTATGTATCTAGCTCTTTGCAAATCCAGGATTTTTTTTTTTTTCATTAGAAAAACACAGAGGCATGAAATAACTATGGACAAATTTTTAGATTTGTAGTGTGATTTTATACTCTAACATCACAGCATAAACTAATTCCCTGTGTGACCTTAGTAGGCATTATGTTTTTAATCATTGTCCATTACACAATACAAACTTGTTTTGGCTTGTTTCGTTGATAAATAGTAACCATAAGTTCTTTCATATCTTTTCATAAGACCATTTCTGTTCTGCTGTGCCTTGCTATATATATATATATATATATATATATATATAACTGGTAAATATTTTTCTTTGCACAATCTGTTATATAACTGGTAAATGTTTCTCCAATTTGTTAACTGGAGGTTCTTTTGAATGTTCAAGTTTTCCCTCTTGATGTGGGTGTTTCAAAATGCCATCTCAACATTTTTATATTTTTCCAAGAGCCTTTTTACCTCCAATACCTATATTTACCTTTAATTTTTATTAGTAGTTAATGTGCTTGGTTACTTCGAATTGACTTTAGTAGCATAAGACTTTTTTAGGATGCCCTTGGTTTACAACACAGTAAGTTACAAGAGTACAACTTCATACTTCCATATATATAAAATCACACACCAACAACAGTGTAGTTGCCATCCACCATCATCCAGCTGCCTCCCTGCTCCACCTGACCCCTCCCCTGGTAATCACCATTCTGAGTTCAGAATCAAAGGAGTTGATTTTCTTCTGTTTGTTCATTTATTTTATTTTCATCTGTTCCACCTACGAGTCAAATCATAAAGTCCTTGTCCTTTTCTTTCTGACTTACTTCACTTAACATAATCACCTGAAGATGTGACCATACTATCACAATGGCAAGATTTCGCTTTTCTCATACTGGAGTATGCCTCCTCTTTACCTATTCACTGATTGATGATACTTCGGTTGTTTGCATTTCCTTCTCTCTCCTTGATTCTCTATTATAGCAATTTTGAACCCTCTCTCTGGTAGGGAGATCAAGTCCTCCATGTCCTTGTGGCTGGATTCTGAAAGAATTGTTCCTCCCCTACGATGACTTAGTCCCTTGCAGTCTTAACACACCGTGTGTTATATATTTTGTCTACTCATTTTGCTGCTTTACTTTTCCCTACTTAAAAAAAAATCTTAGTTTTAGTGCACATAGCAATGTGGTTTTAATTTTCATTGTTTGGTGTTTGCGCTTGCCCTGGTCCTGAGACTTCTGGCAGTTGCTCAGTCAGCAGAGCAGGGGAAGAGCTCAGAGGTTCCAGTTCACTGGCAGGAGCTGGCGGGGG